CACACACACACACACACACACACACACACACACACACACACACACACGCACACACACGCGCACACACACACACACACACGGGCTAACAGAAACATAATCCTTCCTAAGATATTACTCTTCAACAAAGCAGCTGTTACTAGCAAATTCCAAGATTTACACACATTTTTGTGACTTTTAAGGTTGGCTCAACATTGAATAGGGAAGGACGTAGGAATTGTACCTCGCTCGTCATGTGACTGTGCTTCTGCTTCAGGTCCTCAGTCAGCTGTAGCAGCCGCTTGTTTTCGGTGGACAGGAGAGAATTCAGTTTGGAAGCTGCCTGCCATAGACTTCCCTCTGGAAAGAAAAGTAACAATATTGCATGTTATGGGTGTAAACACAAACCGACTCGGCCAGACTATGTCGTCCTCCACTAAAACCTTCGTGCTTTTATCTCACCAGCACCAGAGTCCAGCTCTGCCTTCAGTTGGTCCACGGTGCTCTTCAGACATTCGTAGATCTCCACCACGTGCCGGGCCTGCTTCTGGCTGGACTCCACTCTCTCCTGAAGCTCAGCCTCCATCTCCTCACTGCTGCTGCTCGCCAGCGTTGCCAGGAAAGAGTTGGTTGTCTCTCCCTGGTGGTCTGGGGGACAACAGCAGGAAAGAGGGTTTAGGTGTCTGGTATGTTGAATCAAATATCAACAGGCTATTGCTTTCAAAGTCATGATCCTGTGTTTGCTCTTGTCTTTACTTCTGTCCTTGGCCCGCTCCTGGTTAGAGTCGCCATCAGGTTCTGGAGTTTCGGGCTTCAGGCTCCGCCCCTCACCTGCCAGAGATTTCTCAGGTTCGCTGCTTGCTTGGTCATAACGCCTGATGGTCAGTTGAACGTTTTCATCAAACTGAAGGAGAGAGAAGGGCATCACATTTAGACTCTTACATCTTTATAGGAGAGGCGACTGTTAAATGTTGAACAAGTGATTTTTTGCTTCCTTCTGTGAACTTGTTCACCTGGTTCCAGTATCTGTTGAGGATCAGCAGACTGGCATCATCAGTGGCCTGGCGGGTCTCCAGTCTCTCAATTCGCTCTCGCAATTCATCCTCAATCACCTGCGAACCAAAAAGCCAAGAGATTAACCTCTCTCCAGGACAAGACAGTGCGTAACTGCAGCTTCCAGTGTGCGTGTATATAAAAATTGGAGAGTTAATGTACCTGTCTTTGATCAAGAGATTCTCCCAACTTTCGGTTTTTAGCCTGGAGAGCTTTGATGTCTTGTTCTTCCTAAAAACAAGGAGTTCAAATATGAGTACAAAAAGAAAAAGGAGCCAAACAGACAGACAGACTTTACACTTCTGAGGTGAACATATATTAGCAGTAGGGGATAATAAAGGGGGCCTCACGGAGTTGGACACTCCTCCCAGTTTGATGACCGTCTCCACCGCAGTGCTACCTCCGGCAGCTGCGCTGACACCGGGAGCTCCGTCCTCTCCTTCCCTCTCCCTGCGCTTCTCTGGGGGGGGCGCCGGAGGACGAGGGGCCGCTTGGGTCAGCAGGACGCTTCTGTCCCGACATCCTCAGACTCCTGAAATAAAGCAGAACGTGTCAGTTAGCTAAAGAACTGCGGAGGACTGTTGAGATTCAAGTGGTTCAGCTGGATGAACGACACATCTAACGGTACGTTATGTTGAACATGTAACGTTAGTTAGCTAACGTTAATGTGCTCGAAGATAACCATCGTAATGTTTACTCTGAAACCGTATTCATCTTAATGTTTAGCAGTCGAAACAAATACACACAAAACAATGCATCACATTATAAAACTCGACCAAGCTGATTGAATCAGTCAATGCAACGTTAAGCTACGTTAGCTGTTTGCTAACGTAGCTTTAAATGCTGTTGGTGCTCATGGGAACTGTATTCTGACCCGATAGAATAACGCATTTATTTTGTAATATGTTGAGTATCAACAACACCTAACCGAAGTCTTACCGCTGGTAATGTTACGAGTTTTGTGATATTAACTAAAACTGTTTGTCGCTGTTGATGTTGCGGCTCCCTGCCTCTCGGAAACGGAAGTGTGAACGCTTATTGTGGGACAACCTTCAGCGGACATTACGCCACCTACCGCCGTGGAGGGAACCAGCACCGTTAAACATTGACCCAGTCCCAATGTTCCCTCAAGGAGGGACCCAGTCCCAATGTACCCCTCCTACGGCCTTAAACATTGACCCAGTCCCAATGTTCCCTTAAGGCCTTAAACATTGACCCACTCCCATGTACCCCCTAAGGCCTTAAACCCTGAACCCTCAGGGACTCACTGACTCACCTGGTTAATGGTTAAGTGTGAGAGACTGTGAGGGCTTGGGATGGTGTAAATACGAAGTGGACAGCACTTTCCTGCAACAGACACAGTATATGTACAATTGTGGGTTTTTATTTTATACATTTTACTTCATGATTTGAACGACTTCCAGGCTCTTTCCTCACAAGATGAGAGGTAATTGTCAAATGATCTATTTGCTTGTTTTTGTCAAAACAGCTTCAAAGACAAAATTAAATATTTGATGAATAAATATGTAATATTTAATGTAATATAATCTCTGCTTTCCATTCCTCTGATTTCATGTGTTTTTATGTTCCATCTTTAATCGTTAATATTTCCATGTAAATGTTATTTGCCAGGCTGAACACACATATGCCATCCTCTTTGTTTACCTTTTTTTTTTTTTTTAAATGTCTCCATGCTTCCACTGGTAATCCTGTGTTCAGCGTCACATTGCTATGAATTGTGGCTAATTCCCTTGGGCAAAGTCTGCAGACATTTGGATTTACGGAAAGGGTTCATAAAGGGCCCATAATGTCTGCGAGCGAGTGTCCTCAAACACTCCATGATTTAACAGTGGGACAGCTCTTTCGGGGACCCCACAGGTCTGAGGCCCCTGGGAAGTTGCCCTCTCTTGTATTGTTGCAGATCGAGCCCTATCGCATCATATAGAGTGCATAATATAAATTCACTAGATCCAAAATCATTGTAATCAATCAATATATATATCAATATAACCCAAGAAAGTGAAAAGCCTGTAGCTAAATTAAGACAGCCATTTGTTATGCACATGGATTATTCCCGTTTATTGAAACTACTGAGACAAATCAGAAATGTCCAAATCCAATTTACAGCAGAGATACTTTGTCTTGCTGCTGGGTTGGTTTGCAACTCCCAAAGATCTGTACATCTATGAGAGTTGCAATGCTTAGGGATATTGTAGCATTTATTGTGCAACCAAAACAACAACAACAAAATTCCTCTGGTGTTATCTTTTTGTCCTTTTCTGCTCTTTTTCAGTCCTTATGTAAAAAGGACTTCTGGACAGAGCCTGGACTATTATCAGCACACTTAAAGACTACATTACTATGGGTGCAAAGTCCAGGTTGTGTAAACGTAGACCTACTTAATTGTGAGTTCAGACCTACCTCAGCTTAAATATCCCTATCTGCTAAGGTCACTCATGGACCAATGAGAGTATTACAAAAAACACGTTTTTTTTTTGGGCAGTTATCAGCAATCGATTTGGAAACTGTTTATGCACGACGTGCTTGACAAGCAATGTGACGCCTGGGAGAGATACACAAGGTAGCATGAAAAAGCACGTTTTTCTGTTGTAACTAAGGAGATATTTCCGTCCAATAAATTAACTAGGCTGGCGCTTCGTCTTATTCTATTGTGATTACACAATTTATCTGAAAATGAGTCGATAATGACATAAAATAAAAGTTGAAGACTGTCCACATCCCAGATATGCATTTCCTAATTGCATTCATTTTGAGTTCTATTTATTCACACAGGTTTAAATATAACAAACAAGGAAACAAGACAAATTGATTGATCGTCTTTACCTAAATAATATAAAAACAAATGCACACTGTTATATCATAAATACATTGTATGATGTGAAGGACTTTGGAAGGTGTAATTTAATCAAATGAGAAAAAGTTTTACAAATGTAAGCTCTTCCTTTATGAATTGTATCTTGGACATTAACTTGCATATCTGGAACATTAACACACAAACAGACAGTATGACATGCTGTTGTAATCTACACCAGGAAAACGAAATAAAGAAACCTGAAATGCAACATTGCAGCAGGCTTCTCTTATTGCATCTCTTTTTCTCAAAGTGTACATCGTGCAAAAAAAAAAAGAAGGAGGCGGGTTGTTTCAGGTCTGTAACATGCGCGTGCATGACAATTTTGTTTTCAAATACACACAATGTTCACCACTTTTCTTTTTTTTTCACTCAACCGTCCAGTCGGGTTCTGATGTGTGCTTAAAGTCCACAATAGAGCGTTGATGACATATCATGCAAACTACGCCCCTGTCTGTCTGACCTGGCCAATTGCGTTCCCGGGGTGACGCACGCCCCGCCACATCACGAGCAGCGCCTCCTCCGCAGCGTCAAACAGGCAATAAATACAGCTTTATGCTCAGTGTTCGGCCTCCTCAACCAGTTGAATTACTTCTGTTGACTTCGCTGTTTGACAAAGCTCCAAAGTAAGACGTGTTTTCTGTTTTTAATCTTTTGCATTCTGTGTCTGTCGCTGATTCCCACTTGTTTTCATGAAAAGTGATTTCGCCTTGTTTCGGAGAGATTAGTTCGCTCTGCATCTCCGGGTTTCCTCATGTGTCCAAGTGTGCAGCAATGAAAGTAATGTTGCAGTTATGGATTTAATATGCACGTTTTCAATACTCTAAACTTTGCAGAACTTTATAAATAGGCGGTCTAGTTGATTTAACTATATTCTAATTCGTGGCCTTCATATTATGCTGCAGGCCTATTTTGTGCAATTTATATTATACCGTCTTCTGCAGAAAGTATTGGAAAACGTCATGTAGGCTACATTTTAGTAAAATACGAATTTAGGATGCACTGAATGCAGAACTTATATGTTTGAAGGCCAAAGTTCAACCATGCAGGCCAAATATTTACAGAGGTGATGCAAGAGAAGCAGGAAGTCCGATGCAAGAGAATCTTCCTCATATTTCAGTCTGTCAGAGTTTCTAACCAACTGTGAATTAACTTGTTTCTGTCCTCTAGGATGACTCATCAGTTCCCATCCCTGACTCAGGCGCTGAAGAAGGAGCTCTCTGAGATTGCTCAGAGGATTGTAGCTCCAGGAAAGGGAATCCTGGCAGCAGATGAATCAACAGGTGAGACTCAAGTCGTTGTTCTATATGAGAGGTGTGTGTGTGTGTGTGTGTGTGTGTGTGCAAACTGAAATTATTTCCTTACCCTCCTCTTCTTTCAAGGAACCATGGGAAAGCGTCTCGAGAAAATCAATGTGGAGAACACCGAGGAAAACCGCCGCTACTTCCGTGACCTCCTCTTCTCCACTGACCCCTCAATCGCCAACTGCGTGGGTGGGGTCATCTTCTTCCATGAGACACTGTACCAGAAATCAGACAGTGGCAAGCTCTTCCCCCAAGTCATCAAGGACAAGGGCATTGTTGTCGGCATCAAGGTGAGGAGCCTGAAAGTGCAGATTGAGCCTAGCGGCATGCACACGTCTTCCACATGTTGAACCTTCTATGTTAATGGCTATGTTTTGATTGTTTTGCTTTAGGTGGACAAAGGCACAGCTGGGCTTAATGGAACGGATGGAGAGACCACCACACAAGGTGAAAACGACTGTTTTTCTGCAAGCCTTAACTTAATGCAGAATGAGCACAATCGCCACAGCATACCAACATTCTGTGGCTTGTTGTTTGTCCACAGGTCTCGATGGCCTCTCGGAGCGCTGTGCCCAGTACAAGAAGGACGGTTGCGACTTTGCCAAGTGGAGGTGTGTGCTCAAGATCTCAGAAAGCTGCCCAACAGCTCTCGCCATTGCAGAGAACGCCAATGTCCTCGCCAGATATGCCAGTATCTGCCAACAGGTGCGTGTGTGCGCGTGTGTGTGTGTGTGTGTGTGTGTGTGTGTGTGTGTGTGTGTGTACGGTCATAGTCTCTCTAAAAATGACTGAATCAAAAATATTAGCTGCAAGTCATGTATTTTAAATTGCCGTCTATGTTCTCCATCAGAATGGTCTGGTGCCTATTGTGGAGCCAGAGATCCTGCCTGACGGAGACCACGACCTGCTGCGCTGCCAGTACGTCACAGAGAAGGTTGGTTAATGATCTTTGGCAGAGTTGGCCAAACCACCACCAGCAGTTGATATTTTGAAGCATGTGTAGTAATACATCTGCCTCGTCATGATTTAGGTTCTGGCTGCTGTGTACAAGGCTCTATCCGATCACCACGTGTACCTGGAAGGCACTCTGCTGAAGCCCAACATGGTCACTGCTGGACACTCCTGCACTAAGAAGTTCACCCCTCAGGAGGTTGGCATGGCCACAGTGACCGCTCTGAGGCGCACCGTCCCTGCTTCTGTGCCTGGTGAGTGTCAGGAGGCCAGCTTTTCCCTCAACAAGCAAGTTTAAGAAAAGCACAGAAGTCTGTTCTCAGTGGCATGCTGCGTTCTGTGTCTTTCCAGGTATCTGCTTCCTGTCTGGAGGCCAGAGTGAGGAGGAGGCCTCCACCAACCTGAGCGCCATCAACCAGGTGCCCCTCCATCGCCCCTGGAAGCTGACCTTCTCTTACGGCCGTGCACTCCAGGCCTCTGCTCTTGCAGCCTGGCAGGGCAAACCTGCCAACAAGGCAGCTGCACAGGAAGCTTTCTGCAGCAGGGCCAAGGTTAGTCTCAGAGGGCATGAGCAGCTATCACTAATAACAAATGATGTGTAGTTGTGGACTATGCACGGATCTGGCTATTAAATTGCTCTTGCGTTGTATTACACAACTCTATACTGACTGGTAAATGATTGCTTCTCATGCTTTTTGTCCATTCAGTCTTGCACTAATGGGGCCCAGGCTGATCATTAACACTCAGATTTGACTTTGCCCTAACTTTTCCCCCTTTGTTGCTTTCTTCAGATCAATGGCCTGGCTTCCAAAGGGGAGTACAAGCCCTCCAGCTCAGCTGACGAGGCCTCAATGCAGTCTCTGTACACAGCCAGCTACGTCTATTAAATACTGTGACTTAAAAATATAACATGAATGCACATGGACTAAATATGGCACCAAGAAAATCCTCTGCTGGATTTCTCTTGTCTACTCAATGGAATGACTGGAAATAAAATAAGTGACCAAAATGTTGCTGGTGTCATTGCAGTTTTTGTGATTTGTGAGATCATTTTCGGCTATAAATTGTTGACTTTGGCTGTTGAGGTGTCAAAGGTGTTCTTCTAACCTGTGAGAAAAGCTGTTGGTTTGCAATCTTAATAGTGCTCGTGGGTTTCAGCCACCACTGATTAAATGTCTCGTAGAAGGTTTAATAGTTGAGAAGTAATGCATCACGCAGATAACTTGTGGCGCATGGCTGTAAAGCTCATACAAGTTTACCTCAACCTTATGCCAAGCTGATGGCAGGAGTTGATCCCTCTTTAGTTTGAATCACGGCTGAGGAGCGAACTGTAAAATACGAGGCCAATGTGCTCACACAATATTCGTGGGGAAATACTGAAGGCATTAAAAGTCCAGTGATCTAACAAAGTGTTGCTCTAATACTGAAATTCAACACCCGATTAGAACAGGAGTAGCACTTTGAAATGTTGGTCTTTTTAAAATAAACTAGCAAAAGGTCTGATGCTGATCAGTTTGGTAGCATCATGTTTTTTCAAGGTATTAAAGTACACTTTATAACTTCTTTCCAACAGACGTTGGGCCTTTAACTTGGTATATTGTATTCTGACAAACTTAAAACAAAGGTCTTGATTCATTATTTGCTGTCCTAACATTTAACGACAGCCGGTCTTCCATTTATAGTTTATGGTAATCTGTTAGTGCAGTCTATGTATATAGATATATACAGTATGTGTATATCAATCTGAGCAGTTTTATTTGATTTTATTGTTTATTTAACAAAGACGATATACATTACATGATTTGCACCTGATAAACAAGCTAAATCTGTGTTTTGCACACATTCACAGGCAACAGGTTTTGCTGCAGGCTCTTTATATCAGCCATGTAGATAAACATATCAGCTTACACATGAAGTCATATGCTGGATGGATATCTAAGGATATTACAAGCCAAATGTAATCAAATATACTGTAAATCTTAAGTTGCAATCACATATACGTTGTCCTGTAACCAAAACACAGAGCCCACATCTGCCCACTCATCTGCAAAATATCTGCGGCTAAGTGCATATAGAAATTCACATTGATTATCAAAAGCTTCAATGACCATATAATGCACAAACTGTAATAATAATGCAGCTAATGTAGACAATGATCACACATATTGATGACATAAGAATTAAAGGCTAACAAATTAAATTGACACACACACACACACACACACACATATATATATATATGTTAAATTAGATTTGGATTTTGGATTTATTATTAATGTAAATATGACTTATGACTTTACCAGCAGGGCAAGTAAAATGTCGTACATTTAGCAACTCAATTGTGCGATCAGACAAGCGGTAAAAAGAAAATTAAAGGCATTGCTTTGTCCGGAGCAGAGGATGGAAGTAGTGATGGAGCGAGCTTTCTCGCCTCTTTGTCCTCTTTGTTGAGAGTTGCACATTCGCAGTACCGATCGGGCATTCGTGAGTAATTGTGGCTAAAGACAAAAACTTCTTTTTTCGTTTGACTTTTAGTACATACTGCAGCTGCCCTTACAAAGTATATACTGCTGCATTCAGTATGCATTTAATTGGGACATACTACTTTTTCATAACATGGCACCTTGAACTTTGATCCTCTTGCTCATATATCCAGTGTGCAGAGGATTGTGTGGCTTGCATACTGCAAAATGCCACTGGATGCAGTAGAATGACCAGATATTTCTGGCATATTGCATTTGACACACTTTATATTGAGACATACTAAATATTTGACTGACATACTAAATGAAATGGTAGTATGTGTATTGGAATGCTGAAGTGCAAAAGAACATGTCAATTATCCTTGAAACAGGAGTTTAGTAGGGTGGCGTTAGAAGATGTGGGAGAAACTCAATATTAATTTAATTAACCAATAATAATTAAAATAGTGTGTAAAGGGAAAAGTAAAAAATGGACTATGGGCAAGTGGATTTCTGATCGGGCAAGTGAAAAAAAACCTTTAATGTTAAACCCTGACCAGTGTTGTTAGGTGACATCATATTATCACAGAGAGAAAGCAGTTGACCTAATTGATAGATATCAGTAACAGTATAAAAGACCTGTTCGTGTTCACTACTATAGGACCCACACAGTAAGTACATGTGTTATATGTTAAGTGCATGTCAAATATTTCTTCTCCTGTACGACAACAAGAATCAATTTGAATCTGAGACAAGCTTTACCAAAAGCAAAATAAAGTGGTTAAGTAATGCATTCTTTACTGCAGCTACACATTCTGTAGAGTGAAGCTTGGTGTAGATGTAGGCAACTAAAAAAGGTTGTGGCTAAACATTATAGGCCACTAGGTGGTGTACGTGTGATATTCTGTACAGAATGATGACATGTTCACAGGGTAGCTGTGCTGCAGGACAACCAGTGTCAGTCACTACAGAAGAATACCTTAAAAAGGTTGCGATTAGTTTGATGTAGTGTTGCTCGGTGGAAGCGGTATGTGCTGGACAATGATCTGTTGAAGATAAAGAGGTGGTCCGTGTTAGGGAAGAGGACAACAAGAAGGCAATAACATGATGACAGACACACCGCTTTTCCTCTCTACTCTCTTTCATTCATTTTGTATTACTGTTTATGTTTCTATTTGTGGCTTACACTTATTCTTTGCATATTGTCGTCTGCTGTTCAAACATATCTCCCTATAAATTGTTGAATTTGAATTATAAATCTCTAATGTCGGTGGGAAAGGCTTGTTTAAGATGAAGTAACAATGAGAATGTTTTACCTGGGTGGATGTGGATTTCAGAGCTAACCGCGCAACAGCACACAAGAAGATGAGAAGCACGGACACACACAGTGAGGAAGTGAACAGTAGGCCTTCAACACCAATAAGCTGATTCTAAAGCCAGAGGAAAGTGGAAGAGAAAGTTATTCATACACAGTGAAAATGTGTCCATTTAGCCTAAAACATATGTGCTGTAACTCACCCAATTGTTATTTTCCCAGTTCTCCGAATGGTATCCGTACCTCACGTATCTAATATGGAGGATGCAGCGTAACCGGTAGGGAACAGAGACCACAACTCCCAAAATTGAAACCACGTACATAGCCAAACAGACAGTCACCTGGGAAAGATAAGTTCAACACGATTAGTTGAGTTATTAAGAAAGAAAGAGAGGTAAAGTTAAACACTAGAACTAGACCATAAAATCACAATATACCATCTTCTTGGACGGGTTCATCTCAGTGTAGATGGACAGGTTTCCACAGGCAAGGAACTTAAAACAAATAACACAAAAAATTATAATCACATCATTTTTCCTTTGTCATTCACCCAAAGTGTGCTGATGATTGGCTTTTTAAGCCTTGTTCACATGTCATGTTTATTTTCATGGTAACTGGGGAAGTAATCAAAGCTCCTCTGTACTGGAGTAGAAAGTTTAAAGCAACTTTTATTTGAGCTATCTAAGAAAGATATACCTTTCTTTGCCAAGTTGGATGAGAGAATGATGTTAATCTCTTTATCGAACTCGGGGAAAAAAGGGGGAAAAAGGGAAGAAAGAGAAACATCCTGAAAGAAAGCGACTGAGCATATTTCCCAAAACTTTTGAAACCAAGTTTTCAGGGGCTTTAAGGATACTATATATACTATAGATACTGTGATACTATATATTGTCATTTTCAAGAGAAGCACAAATGCCAAATGTTATGTACCAGCGCTCCCTGCCAGAAGGGGATGTAGATTTGATAAGAAGTGTAATCTCCTTCTCGGGACAGCACAAACCCCATCAGTATCTCTGCACAGCCAAAGATGAGAATGACGATCTGAGAAGGAGAGGGAGGGATGGATTTAAGTACCTGGAGTAGAATAACACTTTGCAGCTGCTCTTTGCGTAAACATCTAAGTTCATATAACAGAATTTCTGTTATTTCTGGATTGTCTAATGTGTTACCCCGAGACTTTTAGGCTCTTTTTGGATGAAGCGATGCAGAGGTTTGCTGGACATCAGTAGCGTGTGGTCTGCCGCGTGACTTCCATCCTGTCCTGTTGTTCTGTCTTGAGTTGTTGACTCAGTTTCCTCCATTGCCACACTGTGTTAGGTTGTAGGAGAAGAAAAACAATTAATCAAACCAGATGTATTCTCTCCACTACAAAGACATTTACAGAGGCACAAATGCAAGATTGTAAAAACAGTCTCAAAGAATACACAATTTGTACAAAAACATGCAGCGACGCACCTTGTTTTAGTTGTTCATGCAGAGCAGCAGTGGGAAAGATAACGGGAGGGGAAGGTTGTGGGTGGAAAGAGGAAGTGGGGGAAATCTGAGACTTCCTTTTTTTCATTAAAGGGAGGAGCCATTCCTCAGTACAATGTTCACCCCCACTGAGATCTGTGTGCACAACCAAGGGACAG